GGTCACCGCTGCACTTGTGAATTATCAGCTTCGAAAGAAGGATAAGGAGACTTCGTTTGAGCCGGTAGCGGGGGCGTTGGTCGCAAGAGCAAAGGGTCCAAACCGTAGTGGGAGGTCGCAGTCTAGAGGGGCACATCTTGGAGTTCGTAAGAATCAATGTGCCTTTTGCAAAGAAGATGGACATTGGAAAGCCGATTGCCCAAAGTTAGTTGATCGAGCCGGGAAGAATAAGGGAAAAGCTATTCAAGCTTCAGAGGCGAATGTTGTCAAGGCTAGTGGCAACGATTCAGATTCGGATTCTTCGGGCTACTCGTTATCTGCACTGCCGTCAGTTTGTGTTGCCTACTCTACAGAGTGGATATTGGATTCGGGTGCTACATACCACATTTGCCCTAGGAGGGATTGGTTCTCCAGCTTTCAGGAGTTGGAAAGAGGGGATTTCGTGCTCATGGGGAATGATCACAAATGCTCTATTGGTGGTATTGGTACTGTTCGGATCAGGATGAGTGACGGGGTGATTCGGGAGTTGGTTGGAGTGAGGTTCGTTCCTCAGTTGAAGAAGAACATCATTTCACTTGGAGCTTTGGAGGCAGCTGGCTATAGGGTGACCTTGGCGGATGCACGCTTGAAGGTTACATTTGGGTCCATGATTGTGATGAAGGGCGTCAGAAGAAGAAATTTGTATTATTTGCACGGAAGCACGGTGATTGATAGGGAAATGACGACTTCATCAGATTCGGCTAGACTGTGGCATTGTTTGGTGCTGGGGTATATGATTGGTAATACCGTGCATTGGTTGTTGAGGAGTGCTATGACCTGCAGATTGAAGTCCTGTGAGCACATTAGGATGAGCGAGACCGTGGTGGAGTTTGGCACTTCTATCCATCGAGCGAGGGGTCTTTTTGGAGGTGTTCAGTCAGGCATTTGGGGGCCTTCCAAGGAGGCATCATTGGGAGGTAATCGTATCTTGGTTTCCACAGTTGGTGATTGTTCTAGGCATTATTGGGTCGCGACCAGTTCCCGTTGGTGTAAAGTCCTAGAAGTCAACAACAATTGGAAGAAGTGTATTGGCAGAAAGGTAACTCATTGTTTCAGCTTTGGTAGGGGTCCTTTCTTGCGTTGGTGCCGAGCTCACGGCAATAGGAGACACTTCATTGGTGTGGAGACTTTGGGGCGACGAGATGAGATGACAGTTTCGATGGGTCGTTCCTTTCTGGAGGAGGATCGGCGTTTGATGTCGAGCATTGGCATTGGTGTGCGGGCTTCGACATATTTGGGTCATCTTATGCATAGGTCGCCGACTGCTGCTTTAGGAGTTATTAGATCTGGTGGAGCTGCTTCAGATTTTGGGTCGCGTCGGATATTTGGATACCCAGCATTTGGTCACATCGTGGATGTGAGATTGGATCCGATTGCGCGTTTGGGGTTCGGAGGCTCAGTTGATTATCGTTTGGGAGCTTCTGATTTTGTTCTGAGCAGGTATGTCACTTTTGACTCTCGGCAGGTGGAGAGTGTTGATCAGGTCATTTGGATATCGCAGCAGGTGGAGAGTGATGCTACTCCACGTTGGGTGGAGATTACTCCACATACTCCAGATCATACTGCGTCATTTGGGATTCCAGCTAAGGTGACACAGGTTGGAGATCATTTGGTTTTGGATGCAGATGATGGATTGGTTTTGGATTCAGTTGCAGCTGGTAGATATAGTTTGGATATGGCCATTGGTTTACCTCAGGTGGAGGTGTTTGATTTGTCTCAATTTGGGGTCATTGGGAATACTATCAGTTGCAGATCGTTTGGTGATATTGGAGAAGAGTTGCAGACTTTTCTATTTGATTGAGGGCCTTTGGAGGCCGTTTGGGTGAACTACGTGAAGGCTTGATTCCTTGGGCAAAGGATACGTAGGCAGTCATTTTGATGCAGCCGATTTGGTGAGCGACATCGACATTTGGGGTGAGTGTTCGCACTCTCATTTGGGTCTCAGCATGTGAGGCATTTGTTTGGTTGGTGTCGGCTCAGTTTTAGGAAAAGTTCGCCGAGGTGGAGAATTGTGGAGAAGAATTGGAAAAAGCAGATTTTTGGTCATAAGTCGACTCATGCACAGGCATAAGTCGACTTATGGTAAGTCGACTTATGTTGGTGCATGAGTCGACTTACGTTCTGCTGAACCACATAAAATTGTTTATTCGAGTTTGATTGTTTTTTTCTTCTGCTTATTTAGTTGCAAAACTCTTTTAAAAAATAACCTAAGTTTCGACGCAAACCTATTCAACCTCCATCCCAACAGTGGAGCTCTCCTCTAACAGGAGCAAGAGGAGGAGGATGCCTTGTGGTAAATCCCTGAAGTATGCTGGTAAAGGCTTATGAATGAGCCTACTGAGGAGAGTTTTGGGGTTTTGGAGCACAGAAAAAGAGAGATCTTTCTGAGCTATTTGTTAGGGTTATTGGTTGAGAGATTGAGAGATTTGTTGGTGAGATTAGTTGGTTCGTTTGAGCGATTTGTAATCTCAATTTGTACTCTCCTTCTCTATTAGTGAAAAACCCACCCCCTTCTTGCCCCGTGGACGTAGGCAATTTGCCGAACCACGTAAAACCTTGGTGTTTGTGTTTTGTTTGGTCTTTCTCTCGGCGTTCGTTGGTTTGGTTTCTCAAAGCATCAGTCACAACAATCTTAACCAGATTCTATAAGGGCAATTGTTGATGAATAACCAAACCAAAATAGACTCAACCCTCAGTAGCCTAGAGAATTAAAAACCAAATCAATCTTGCTATGATTTAGAGCTAGAGTAACACGTGAAAATGGTACGGACATTAAATGTGCAGCTGTAACTCTGAACTCATTGAACTTCTAGATTTATGAAATAATTTAAGAAGAAATTTTCAAAACGGTCTCAAACCAGGTTTTAATTTAAAAAACCGATCCACTTTTTTTTAACCAAAATCGACTTGTTTTTTGTCACGTCAGCTTAATTTTATTTTCTAATTAGTCGGGATAACCAACCCCGGCTCTTTAGGACATAAAAAACCAGATTTAAGACTTCTAATTCGAGTTTAACAACCTCCTAAATAGTCGGGGTTTTCAACCCCGACTGTTTAGGAATAGGATTAAGCTGACGTGGCAAAAAGTAGGTCGATTTTGGTAAAAAAAAAAAGTTATGCTTTGATGCTCCGAAAATAAGAATTTTTATAATTTTTAAATGGATGGAAAATTAAAATTTTGGGCTGAAAATAACAATGGTGCATTTGTCCTTTTCTTTTCAATTCCTATCCTATTATTTCTCTGTCCATAACCACTTCACCCACCACCCTTGTTTCATGTTTACTAGGTGAATTGCACACGTGCAATGCACATGGTATACTTTTTAGATTTAGTTTAAATTGATAATTTAGTTTAGTTTAATTTGTAGCTTATATACATGTTTAAACAAACATATAATAGTGTAATTTTCAGATTTTGATTTTTCAATGTACAAAAGAATATAAATCAATACAATTTACTATACTTATTTCTAAATGAATATTTTCTCGTAAATAGGGTATCAAATTGTTAATGTTAGTATGTAGAAAGATCCTCTAACTTAGTTCTAAATCTTTTCAGTAAAAATATAAATAAAAGTGTAATTTTACAATCAACATTTAATTTTATTCCTCTTTATAATGATAAGAAAGGAATTGACATATGCATGTTATGCATAATTTTATACAATATGACTAAAAGCAAGAACAATAATATCTATTTTAAACACAACTTTGCGTTATTATAGTACCAGTTTTTTGTCATAAATATGAAAGGAAAAATAGAAGAGAGAAATCTAATATGATACAATACGACCAAATTAGATTTTGTTAAAGATCAAGTGAGAAATTAGTTGAAGAAAACTAACCCTTCTCAAATATTAGTTTTATCCTTTTCTATGATGTTTTCAACTCCAAAACTACACTCTAAGTTCAACCTATTTACAAATGTAGGTGTTGAAGGCCTATCAACCGCATAATCCCTTAAATTGTGGATTAGAGAGCTGGATTTTAGGCTTTTCTATTTACAGAAGCTGTTGGCAAAAAAAATGAGTCGGTTTTTCAAATTAAAACCTGGTTTGAAGCTGTTTTAAAAATTTCTTCAATAATTTAAAGATAAATATCACTTGGGTGCATATTCTAAGCTAGAAAACAAACTGAATTAAGTTGTTTGTTTGTTTGTGCTCAAGTTGTCTCCTTAACCTTCAAAGTGCTCTAATGGAGTAGTTTATTCTGCAACATCAAATTACAGAAACTTTTCACAAAGTATCAGTAGTAATTCAATGGAGTTGCAATTATATATTATAAAAATTCAAACACCCAACAAGTTTTAGTACCCGTACACCCCATATGGCTCCAATTTATCGTACTGTCAAAAAGATCCAGACATCGAAACAAAACAAAATAATACGGTTCCAATTAATGGCAACTAATAAATCACAAAGATTTCTTTAATTAAATTTGACCCACTCGAAAAGACTCACGCCAGCGAACAAAACAGCACGAAAAAAGGGGGAAAGGCACGCACCCTAATCGAGGCGCTACTTTCCTTCACCCCAAAGCTTAATAAAATACTAACGTTGCAGAAAAAAATACAATACAATAATATAAAGGACATATTTTAAAAATAGACCCATTTTGACAAAAAATTATAAATTTCGACCTATTTGAAATTTATTTGTGAAAACACACACAATTTCAACACTAAAACTGGGTGGGTTTGGACTAAAAAAAACTCTGAAGTTTCACGAAAAACTTTTAAGTCCCGTGAAGTTAAGAACTTTATTAGCTGTCTGCTAGACTTCACGGAAATTTATTTATGAAAATCCGCCTAGCTTCAGCGCGATAGCTAGAACTGGATAGATTTTCACAAATAACTTCAGAATAGGTAGAAATTTGTAATTAATTTTGTAAATAGGTCTATCTTCAAAATTAATCCTAATATAAATGACACATACTATCATAAAATGAGGGGGTGAAATGCATTAAAGCCACTGCAAAATACTAAAACATAATGCAATATCTTTTCATCATTACATGTAAACGCTTCAGTTGGCAGCGGTCCCCAACAAAATCAAATTGACCTCCGCCACTGAGAATATAGAGGGGGTTTAAAAAAAGAGACAAAAGACAAAAATAACACTAGATCTTATTACAAAACTACCCCCTCCGCTTCCATTCGAACCCACAAACTCTATTTTATTTCAACCTAACTACCCCCTTTGGCTTAATATCAGCTTTCCCAAAATAACCCAGCTGTAAAAAAAAATCCTTCATTTCCCCCAACAAAATCTATCACCCCCAGCTGTAATTCTTTCAAATTTTCTTCAGCTAAAAAAACTACTAATAATACTAAAACTTCACATTTTACTTGTCAGCGGTAGAATCAGTAGGACCAATCCTGAGGAAGACAAACCTCCTGATTTCTCTTCAAATTGCTTCCACCCATCACAGCAGCTTACAACCCAAAAAAAAAAACATTTAATTAAACTTACTAATTTTCCAAATAAAAAATTACGTAAGCAACATTTGACATCAAATTAAAATTTACCATTTTCGGAAACATAATAATAACCAGGGAGGCGAGGGAGAGTCCCCATTTCATCCACATTCAAGTTCAACGCCTGAACAACTCCCGCCGGGAGCAGAACAGGAGAACAAGCTGCAAAATTATAAAAGCATTTTTAAAAATATCAAGTGTGTGGGGGGGCTTAAATGTAAAAAAAAGAAAAGCCCTGAAAACATACCAGGTTGCCTTTTGGGCTCGATTGGGGTACGACGTGGCAGAAAGACGCCGGTGCCGTTGGACCGCCGTCTGGCGCCGTCGAAAAGGACGGGCGTCATCCCAGATCTCGAAACTGGCTGCTGACGTCGCTGATGGACGCCGTTAACCCCATAAACGGCGTTAGCGATTCTCGCTCTGTTCTCCTGCGGGCGTCGATAAACGGCGGCGAGGAACTCTTGCTCTTGCTGCTGCTTTATGAGTTGCCGTCTCCTCAGCTCATAAAACTGTAAAAAAAAATCACGAATTGGGATTTAAAAAACTTTCTGGCGCCGTCGAAAAGGACGGGCGTCATCCCAGATCTCGAAACTGGCTGCTGACGTCGCTGATGGACGCCGTTAACCCCATAAACGGCGTTAGCGATTCTCGCTCTGTTCTCCTGCGGGCGTCGATAAACGGCGGCGAGGAACTCTTGCTCTTGCTGCTGCTTTATGAGTTGCCGTCTCCTCAGCTCATAAAACTGTAAAAAAAAATCACGAATTGGGATTTAAAAAACTTAAAAATTTTCGGAAAAAGGGAAGAAAAAATAGTTAATTTACGCGAGCTTGCTGAAGGCGTTGGCGGAGGAGATCTTGATTCGAGTAGGGGCGAAGATAATGAGAGTGACATGGGCCGAGAGGCCCGCGAGAGAATTCACAGTTGGGGCCCAATCTCTCGACTTGGCCTGCAGCAGAGCAGAGCAGATCCAAACCTTCTTTCTCTTGAAACGGCGTCGACGGCGGTGACGAGACCTGAGATGGGCCGTCTGGGCTATCGTAGCTCGAGAAAGACCAGCTCCCGAGACCGCTCAGCGTCGACTGAGGCGACGTCGCCATGGGCGCCGAAGCCTGAAGAAATTGACCCATCAGCTGAAATCCAAGATTTAGGAAGCGAGCGAGCAAAGAGAAATTACCTTCGAGGTTGGCCTTCGAGCTAGAGAGTGGCCCATCAACTGTCGAGCTAAAGCAGCAACTGGGTCGTCGTCGTCGTCGCTCTCGCCGGGCTTTTCTCCGTCAGCGAAGAAGTCGTCGGTGAGGATATCGGAGGGGAGCCAGAACTCGCTGTCTCTGTTTCTCGCCGCCATGAGACAGAGAGAGATAGGGAGGGAGAGAGAGAGAGAGAGGATTTTGGAGAGGGTTTTGATTCTCTCTCTTCTTAAAAATGAAGAGGATGAGGAGAATGTCAAAGCTAGGCCTGCAGCAATATATGAGGTATAATGAGTGGCCTCATATGATGGGCCTTAACCTTTATTGGACTGGGACCCTTTTTTTCATTTCTTTTAATAAAATAAATAAAAGTAAAATATTTGAAACGGATAGGCGAGTAAGAGAATCTCCAACCAAAAACCCATTTTAACACAAAATTAGCGTCAATTCTTCCTCCAACCCAACGCCAAACTTAACGTCATTTTAAAGGGGGCTACAGTATTACGTCAGGAATAATGTAACACTGTGAATATGGAGATTTTGGTTTTTTCCAAGTTTATCCTTATAGTTTGTTATAACAAATCAAATATTCCAATCAGATCTCATTTTATAGTTTGTAAAAATTATACCATTTTGAGTTTTTTGGTTAGAGATGCTCTAAGGAACCCTGACCCTAACAGAATCCGTCTGTCCGTCCATTCACGCTTTGATTTGTTTTGCGCCCTCTCCACGATAAGGGATGTGAAAATGCATCCTATAGAGGTGCAAAGCATAAATCAGATGGGACTCAAAAAAGATTTTCGTCCTTCTTGATGCAAATAAATATCTAATAGATTCAACGCGTAAAAATTAGACTCGATGCAGAGAGCTTTGTGATCTTTCTATATAGGTGATGTAGATCTCTTGGGTGATATCTCCTATCATAGTCTATTGAGAATATGGTACGATTTAAATTATTCATGTTCAACTAGGCAATTTGTCATAAAGACGGTTCAGGCAGAGGTTAGTCGTAAATTAACCGAGGTGAATTTAGCTGCTATGGGTCTTTCACCTTCTTTACCCAGTGAAATTATATGTTATCGAGTTTGTCTGCTTATGTGGCATGATGCCAATTGTAATGAGAGATATACTCGTAATAATCATATCTATCTATCTATCGATCTCGGATACAAGTAAAAATAAAAAGTATATTTGGTAAAGAAAGCTTATATTCATATATGCTGAAAATTGGAGATTGGTCAAATAATGTAGAGAAAAGATATGCGAATACACATGCGGATAACAAAATGGATCTTCGAAGCTATATGAGATTGAAATAATAAGGTTGTATGACACCATAGCTACCATTAATGTATTCGCTATATCTAATAAACTATATTAGATTTATTTTATCGTCAAAAATAATCTCAAATCCGCTAATATAAGGATCAAAACAATCACAACTGTATGACCAATATATTAGGATACTTTGTACAAGTATATGTATATTTCACTATATGTTTGCATTCCTAACATATAGAAATTTAGTAAACAATTTTCAGCACAACGAATACGGATACGGATACGTTCATAAGTTCATTGATACCAGCCTCTTCTTGGGCGCCCCTTGTTGCATCATTAAATTAATCCCATTGTTAGGATTGTACGAGTGGTTTGCGGGGCTGAAGAACAGCCTTTGATGTGGGGTCAGTCAATATCCCGTTACCCAAAAACGTTACGGCTCAACTGTTTTGTTTTTAATCGGATTGTATATTGCTAATCCACCCTCATAACTATCTAATTAATTTGTGCTCTTAACTTGTGACGACAAACTAATGATTATTATTAGTAGTAGTAATCATTTTAAAATTAAGATGACAATATCAAATTATCATTAAACTTTAGTTAATACAAAATCCATCTTCAAAGTGTGTTCTGTAGTAATCCACAAACGTGGCCTATTTTCCAATTAAGTATCAATTGATATCTCACGTTTAATTTAACACTAGCTTGGAAACAAGTCGAAATGGTCCATCATTTCTACAACATTTTTAATAGAGCCCTCTACACAAATCAAGAGTTTAAACAAGCTCAAAGGATTTTTCAGGCTAACATAAAATGAAAGTATAGCCACAGGCGGTTCCACGTTATCGAAAGTGTTGTCACGTGATACCAATTTTTCCAAAAAGTTCCTCATTTTAACCCATTTTAACCTAAAGCTTAAGTTGAGCTTTTGAATATTTTTAGCATCGGTGGCAAAGCCAAAAACTTTACCTGGGGAGTGTTAATTAGAAATAAAGAATGTTAGCACACCCTCTTAACAACGTGGTGACCATAATCGTAGGGTGGTGAGACCCCGGTGACAGCCACCGTGTCCGGTTTGGAATCTGAACCCAGACGCTGACGTGGACCCGACCAGATTGCTCACTGGATAACCCGCAGGGCCTTGGGCCAATGGCGAAAACCCCCTCCGTTAAATTCTATCGGCGGTTACCCCTTTTGTCGCGACGTGCGGTTGATGCTGTCGCGTCTCTGCAACGTGACGTCTCTGCCGGCGTCTTTGCCAGTGCCACTTCCATCGGATCCTGTTTAACCCCGTTTCCCGCCAAAATTAAAGGCCACGAATTTGAGAAAAGGACAGCAGCGGGGTTTGAAATGTTGAAATGATTTTCTTTTTCTGCGTAAAGAGTGAAAAAAAAAAGAAATTGGAAAAAAAAGGGAAAGGAGGGTTTTCCTCCCTTTTCCCTGCTTGGATTTTAGTATTTTACGGGCAATTTTTTATTTTGAAATTCCAGCTGTGGGTGGAGCCGTCGCTGTCGAGGTGATACCGGGTTCTGTGGTTGATCGGACGGTGGCTGTTAGTCCTGACAGCGTGCCGTATGTTTCGCTGCGGATTTACATGCTCTTTTTTGAATATTAGTCCCGTAAAATTTTAATATTTTGAAATTAGTCACAAATTTGGCTACTTGATTTGCTCGCGAAGCAGCTGCCAGTAGTAAAAAAAAAAGGACTTTAAATGGACATGAGTTTTATACAAGTCTGAATTTGTATTAAAGACAATGATTTGGTTTTTGTATTTTAGATTGATTTAACTCTTCTATTTTCAACTCAAACAGTAAGAAGATTAATGGAACTAAAAAGGGGGAAAAATCAATATTAATAAAAATTACAACTGGCTTGATGTGTCAATAAGCTAACTTAATAGTGACATTCCTTCCGCCTTAAATGACATCAGGCTGAAGGGACTCATTTGAAATAACTTACTTCGATATTAACAATTGTAATGATTTCAGAGATTAATATCTAAATGTTAAATTTTACATGACTATTCCAATAAAAAAACATTTGTCGCCTAAAGTCTCGTTTGTTTGCTAATTTTTTGGAGGGGTGGCACCAGGGACACACCCCCAATCATATTCCAAACCACACCCCCTCTCTCATATGTTACAGTACACCGGGCCCTACAAATCCCATGTATGACCCGGTATATTGTAGCATATGAGAGAAAGGGTGTGGTTTTGAATGTGATTGGGGGTGTGCCCCTATTATTTTTATTTTTTGGAGTGTAATACTGTAGATATCATTTTTCTTTTTTACACGAAGCAACCAAATTGGCCCTAAAACTAGCGAGCCCGGGCGAGAGTACTACGTGGATTCAAAGTCACATGGGCTGGGCCCAGTACTGTTATGTGTGAATCATGAGAGCACTGGTGCACAGCACAACAACAGCTGAAATTTTAAATTTAATTTTTGTTTCTTTTCTTCTACGCTTTTTGGAAGCTTGGGAGACCAGCAAATTGAGCACTTTGGGCCATTTGGGGGTCCAATATACAGGGGTTCGAGTTGAGTAAGGGCTAAGCTTGAATTATATCACCCACCCTTTTCGGCTTTGTGGGTTTATTTTAACTTTAATTTAAATTTTTTTTTTTGGGTGATTATTGGGGCATTTCAAGGTTAGAAGATTTTTGGGGGCCACTCAAGATTTTTTGACAAGTAGAGGGAAATGGCTTAAGCACATTCCCCCCAATTAGGGTGTCTTTGGTTTATTATTTGACTAATATATTGCTATAGGTATTTGATTGGTTGAATTGAATTTATATCAACCAGATAGAACTGATTATTTCATTGCAACTGTGTTCAAACTGGGCATTTTACATGATCTTGACAATAAGTCAATAACGATATAGATATAATTCTATGCAAGTATTCTCAATGGTTAAGATATTTAATTGTAAAATCATGTAGTTCACTAAGGGTTGTTTGGTTCGGATTTTTCTCCCAAAATCGTCTCTTATAGAGGCGATTTTGGGAGAAAGCGGTCAAAGTTCAGACATTTTGGCAGCTTTCCCCTCCTTCCCTCTTCAAAAAAAATTGAACCAAACGTGCCCTAACAAACGTGCACCTCCGTTATCTAATCTTTCCAATTTAATATATTATTGATCCCCTTCTCTGGATGTGATAGAGACATGAACCCTAACATCATCAAAGGTACTTCGCTAGAATTTTATTTACGAAGTACATTATTAAAGCATCAATTAATGGATGGACGTAGGCCAAACATTGATACTCTCTCGAAAATTATTCGCGTCTGACTTTACCCACGCGGAAATATTTTCATATTTGGTATGAGACTAATTAATCATGTGCGGACGTCTAAAAAAAAATCATATTTTATTCTCATTTCACAATATATTCATGAATATTAAATTCATTCATAACACAATGAATTTTGTTTAAAAAGACAATTTATTACCTCTCACATGTCGCATAATGTTCTTTGATGCTTGTTAGGCACGGATTCAACTTTGTACAATTTGGAAAACATAGACTTTGATTGCCATGAGACTCAAAAGAAGAAGAGACATCAAACTAACATTTAAGAAGAAGAAGATATGTAAAAATCTGAAGTAATGAAACGAAAACTCCTTTATATCCAATTGTGGTCCTTCGAAAATAGTTTCTTTGGCATTATTCTGACCTAACATTAATAGTCAAATAATTGGCATCATATATTTCCATGTTGCAACAGACAAATTAGGTCACACGTGCAATCAGCACACACGTGCAGGCAAGCGGTGGCTCTGTTGTTGTGCAGATGTAGTAATCTGGAAAACAAGGAATCAAGTAATGACAGCTAGTAATGTCCCACATTAAATTCAAAACCCATTATGTACTGCAGTATTTCTGACTTTAGGAACACACCAAAGACACATGTTAGAATAGAAACAAAGTGTTTGCCCCTTAATTTGAGGAAACAAAGCTTATTGTGTCTCC